TCTGGTTAACAGGCAAGTGTCTTAGCCACTATGCTACCAGAGCTCCCGAGAATAACATTAGCAAATAACATTAGCAAATTACATGCTTCGACAATGGATGTTATTAATGACAAGATGTGTCCAAAACAAAACATACCAACCATAAATGCAGTTCATCGTAATTTGAGCACATTGTAAGTTGGGGACTCCCTGTAGTGAACTAGTACACGTCCTTCATAGTAAAAGGATGGTACGGATACGTTCCTGCACGGTGTGACTGACAGCCCTCATCCTTCGTGTAGCGAGGGCTCAGGAAATGTTTGTTGCTGGTGGAACAAGTTTGAAGGGTTTCAGTGGTTTTCAGTATCACTGACTGGGTCCTGAAGTGGGATGGAGGTGTGTCCTTGCCCCATTCTCTTGGACCACTTTCCCGAGTTGTCAATTTATCTTGGCCCTCAATACAGTCCACCAGAGATGCGTTTTGCCTCCATTCCATCCGTGTGAGTCATTGTCAAGAACGAAAATCATGGCAGAGCCGGGAACCCCAGCTGAACTCCTCAACTGATGGAAGAAAAAACTCAGTTCCCCGGGGTGGTCGCAGCCGCCCTGGGCCACACTGGGAGTTGGGACAGAAGTCTTGACTTCTCTCTCAGTGCTCTTGCCAACCTTTCAAACGGTTACCTAATTAATTAACTAATTGTTTACTTTTTGTTGTGATTTGTGTGGAATTTTACCAAGCAGTTGCGTTTTCCATTCAGCAGTTGCACACGTTTTGTTTGGTGATGCTGGTTATATTCCCGGTAGTGCCAGAGCTCCCCGCCCGCTTCCTCCCTGTGTTTAGCCCTTCCCTGTGTCCTTCTTGCCTCTGTCTTCCTGCCTCCCTCCCTCTCTCCCTGTCCACATGTTGCCCTTCTGATCCGCCCTGGCTGACAGTTCTAAGGATTGCATCTCTCTGGTGTAGGTGGTCCGCTTGTAGGCCTGTCGTTGGAGCGTTAATTTTGTCCTTGGTTTTTCCATAATAACTCAGATCAAATTCAAGGAGAAGGCCTTTCTCCCTGTATACGCCCCAGTTTTCCGTTTCAGCTCATTAGAAACAAGGTGAAATTCACTTCAAACCCCAATCACAACTCTGGCGATACCTAGCAACATGGTTATTGTCACTGGGGGAAGAAACACGTGTGACTTTGGGAATGGAAGTTCCTACCATGGAGTCACAAATCAGATGCATTTCTTTAACAAGCAATAAAAACAAATGATAGATGGGTAGAAAGAGGAAAGTCAGGCGTACTTCTCGAAAGAAGGTAGAAGAGGCTGGAAACCTCTTTATGGCTGCTTGGCATTTCCTTTATAATCTGTGGGGGCAGGTCATGGGGACGTGTTTTATTATTGTGAATTAATTTATTAATTTATTTACTTGTTTCCCAAGTGGGAAACAAAGCAGTCTACTGCCTCTGAAAATTGGGCTGGCAACCTGACGTTGAAGGAGCCTGGTGGTGTGGTGGTTAAAGCACTCTGAACCCACCAACAGTTCTGCAGGAGCAGTTCTGCAGCTGTCAATCTACTCAAACCAAACCCACTGCCGTGGAGTCAATTCTGACTCACAGCGCCCCTAGAGGACAGAGTGGAACTGCCCCACAGGGTTTCCTAGGCTGTCAGTCTTTACAGAAGCAAAGCCCAAACCACACCCACTGCTGTGGAGTTGATTCCAACTCACAGCGCCCCTAGTGGACAGAGTGGAACTGTACCAGAGGGTTTCCATTGCTGTCAATCTTTACAGAAGCCTACTGCCTCATCTTTCTCCTAGGGTACGGCTGGTGGGTTCAAACCACCACCCTTTTGGTTTGCAACCAAATGATTTAACCAGTGTGCCATAGAGCTCCCTTTGCTATATTCAAGGAAATGAAAAATCCAGCTATAACAAATCAGGGGGTTTTATCTGCCATATTTTCATTTTTGGTGAAAATAACCTTTTCACAAACTATTAGTTGAAACATTATTGCCACAGTGCTCACACAATTTTGTTCAAGTGTGTGTTTTTTTCCCCCTCATTTCAGTTTCCAGTTGATACTCTGATCCCTGATGGAAAAAGGATAATTTGGGACAACAGGAAAGGTTTTATAATCTCCAATGCAACATACAAAGAAATAGGGCTTCTGATCTGTGAAACAACAGTCAATGGACGTGTGTTTAAGACAAACTACCTGACGTATAGACAGAGTAAGTGATGGTCTTAAGCTATGAAGGTGAAGCCCAGATATTTTGTGGTTTGTCTGTCTGCTTAATGAAACACTAATTTTTAAAAAAATGTCTCTCTTATCCTCGCAGCCAATACAATCACAGACGTCCAGATAACCCCACCAAGTCCAGTCAAATTGCTTCGAGGCCATACACTTACCCTCAACTGTACTGCAACCACTCTCTTAAACACAAGAGTCCAGATGACCTGGAGTTACCCCGGTGAAGTGAGTGACCCATTTTTCTGTTTCTTCTGTAAGACAGTGCTTTTTTTAAGTAAGTGAAATCCCACTGGATTTTTGGGGAAAAGAAGGTAATTCTCAAAGGGAGGAGGAACAGCTATCTCAGTAGAGTTCTAGAAAGTTCTCCAGTCTGTTTAATTTAAGGGATCGATGCTCTGAGTTTTGGTGGTGATGACTGACTGCTTTTTGACTCAGAATTAAATTACTCCTGTGGAAAGCTGAGGAACTCTGGGGACGCAGTCCGAACCCACCAGCCACTCTGTGGTAGACAGATGAGGCAGTCTGTTTTCTGTAAAGGTTACATACAGCCCGGGCAGCCCTCTGGGGCAGTTCCACTCTGTCCTGTAGGGTCACTGTGACTTGGAATCGGCTTGATGGTAGTGGATTGGGTTTGGTTTATGGAAGCTTTCATCCCTGAGGAAGTGTTAGGTCTTGGTGCTTTTCTGGCCCTGTGTTTCGTGGGTGAGATGTGTGTAGATAGGGTCTTTGATGTGTGGGGTTTTGTTTTGAAGTGTATGGGCTGGTATTTCTATTGCGTGATTCTGGGTGGAAAAAGGGATTGTTTTCTTCTCAGAAATTGTTCTCTAGGGTTTAGAGATGAGAGAGAGAGTTATCACCAAATGCCAGGCAAGGACTGTCTTTTGTAACAGCAACAACAACAAAAAGTTCTCAGGCGGCTGTCTTTGTCAGCACATTGACTGAAGAGACTGGCAGACAGGCAGGCACCTGACTGGAGCATGTTTGGAAAAGAGACTACAGTCCAGGAGTTCAGTGTCCCCTGTTTGTCAAGTGTCACTGGAGTAGTGCTGTCCTTGAAAAATGAGAAGAATGAAGACTGAGTCGAGTTTCCTTATCCAAACTGAAACATCCTTGTGACTGATACCCACTGCCATTGAGCCCATTCTGACTCACAGCGAACCCCACTGGCTTTCCAATGCTGTAAATCTTTAGGGAAGCAGACTGCCTCATCTTCCTCCCAAGGAGCAGCTGGGGGATCTGAACCTCTGACTTTGTGGTTAGCAGCCAAATGTCTTACCCACTGTGCCGCTATGGGGAGAGGAGCTCTGGTGGTGCTGTGGTTAAACCATTGGGCTGCTAACCACAAGGTTGGTGGTTTGAACCCACTAGCCACTCAGGAGAGAATATGAGACAGTCTGTAAAGACTGACAGCCTAGGAAACCCCCTGGGGCAATTCCTCTCTGTCCTCTCAGGATACCGTGAGTGGGAATTGACTCATTGGCATTGGGTTTGATTTTTTTTTGTTTTTTTATAGATGGGGAATCTGTGGTAAACTGTGAACAAAATAATTTGGACAATGGGTCTAGCCCCCTGTGTCTGTGTCAGTATGATTTAGGTGGCATATCCCAAGTGTAATTGTTGTGGTATCATTCAGATTTCCGATCACAGAGTCTATCTATGATTAAATTATGTACAAAAGATAAATGAATGCATTACCCCCAAGCCATTGTTATTGTTGTTGTTGTTTTTCCTCGTTAACATTTCTTTCCACGGAAATAAAATAACTTAGCAACAGAAAGGTATGGAAGTGCCCTGGTGACACGTGAAAGACTTACTGGTCGTAAACTCTTTTCTAGAAAGTGATGTTTCACGGGAAGAAAAATGCTATGACTTGTGGCAATATTTCCAATATTTTGAAAGAAGCAAAATAAAGTATTGATAAATACTCTTGAACTATTGAATATCAATAATCTAAAACTGTTCAGTAGAACGTTCTGGAATGGAAATATTCTGTCCTGGGCTGTCTAATATGGTTAACATCTAGCTACATGTTATAGGGAACCCTTGAAATGAGGCTGGCGTAATCAAGGAACTAAATTTTAAATTTTAATGAACTTGAATTAATGTGGCCAGTGGCAGCAGGCCTGGAGACGGCAGCTCTAAACCAAGGAGTCACTGTTTTCCGAGGTAAAAGTGAGCACCAAGATCCCTTGGGTGGCACAGATAGTCTGCACTCACCTAGGAACCCAAAAGTTGCTTGTTTTGACCCACCCAGTGGCGCTACGGACGAGGCACCCCTGACAGGTGGCTTCTGGGAAGATTACAGCCAACCCAACTATGGAGTCTCCCCAAATAAACACATAAACAGAGAAATGCCTAAAAGCTCAGACCAGTGTTATGCCAACTTGGGGGAAAGAAGGTAGCCCTTTAAGGAAGGAGAAATACCTAGATAAGGAGAGTTTTGGAAAGTTCTTCCGCTTGGTGCTTTGATTTTGGTGGGGAGGTTGACATTTTCTGTCTGGTTACTGCTAAGGATGAGGAACATGGCCTCATCATTGGCCGTTTCCCACAGGGCAATAAAAGGATAGATGAGTGGAAATTTATTAAACACAGCCCAGAGGGGAACTAAGTCCAAGACCCAAAGATCAGTTCTGGACAGCTTCTGTAATCTGCTTTTTTCCCATGCCCCCTTATGGGGAAGGATTGAGAGGAAAAGATACCATATTACTTGTAACGTATAATGTCAAAAAAGAAAAAGGAAGGCATAATGAAAGGATAAGGTAATGTGATCTCGTACCTCACAACTGGGAGCAGGTCATGAGGCCCCTCTAGGTCTTCCCTGTGGTAAACATGGGACAACAGCCCCCCTCCGCCCCACCCTGGAGATTCTGTGTTTTGTTTTGGTCTTCCCTGAGGTAAACATAAGACCCCTCCACACCCAGCATCTAAATCTTCTCTGGGTCTTCCTGAGGTAAACATGGATGCCAAACCCCCCAGCCCCCATGACCATCTAGGTCTTCTTGTGGTCTTTTCTAAGGTAACCAATCTCTCCCATGAGCCTCTAGGTCTTCCCTGAGGTAAATATGAGATGACACACCCTCCCAAGTGTTGGCTTTGAAAACTTGTTGATGGCGCTGTATGCCCCTAGATCCATTTACTACATTTTAGCAAGCACCACTCCAATAATCAAATAATGAAACTGGGATTGTTATACCTTCGTAGGTGTAGTGGGGTCGCATTATCTTTTCCTTCCCTTCTAGTAGGGCAGTAGAAGGAAAGTCCAATGGTGATTTATTAAGGGAAGCACTGTCATTAAGGCAGATAGTGATGATAATCATTGTCTGTGTTTATGTGTAGTGTTAATGCCTGGAGGAGAAAGACACTGTATCTGTACTTCAAAGAGCTGAGTTCCTGGCCTTCTTTGGCCAGGATCTGTTCACTTCAGGGACTTTGTTGTTGTTGTTGTTGTTGTTGTTATGTGCTGTCAAGTGGATCGGACTCATAGCAACCCCGCCTTGGGTTTCCAAGGGAAAAATGGAGGCAGCGTGTGTGAAAGTCCATTTGAAGATAAACCAAAACCCAAACCCACTGCCGTCAAGTCGATTCCGACTCATAGCCAACCCCATTGGGTTTCCAAGGCGGTAAATCTTTACAGAAGTAGATTGCCTGGTCTTATTTCCACGGAGTGGCTGGTGGGTTTGAACCACCAGGCTTCTGGTTAGCAGGCATGAGGTGCTAAATACAAGCACGCTCAGGCAGAGATGTATTCTTAAGCATCTCACTCTAGTTAGGTTCGACAGGCTGCCCACTGTAAAAGGAAGTTGTTGAAGTATTGATTTCAGTTACGGTCTGAGACATGCTGTAACCTTTAGAGCTCCTTGTACATTTAAGTTATGCGTTTCCTTCCTAGGCCAGTAAGAGAGCTTCCATAACCCGATGGATCGACAGAAGTGACCCATTTGCCAACTTATTCTACAGTATCCTTGTCATTGACAAGGTGCAGAACAGAGACAAAGGCCTTTATACTTGTCGCGTGAAGAGTGGGCCGTCCTACAAAACGGCTAACACCTCCGTGCATATATACGGTAAGCAGTAGTTCCCAGTGGCCAAGGGGTGCTTGCTTCTCATCATTGTGGATTCTGTGTCTTCTTTTAGTCTTCCCTGAGGTAAACATAAGACCCCCCCACACACTCACATCTAAATCTTCTCTCAGTCTTCCCTGAGGTAAACATGGATGCCACCTCCCCCATGACCATCTAGGTCTTCTCTTGGTCTTTTCTAAGGTAACCAACCTACTAAGGCTAGTAGGGTCTTCCCTGAGGTAAATATGAGATGACACACCCTCCCAAGTGTTGGCTTTGAAAGCTTGTTGATGGCTGTCTCTGCCCCCAGATCCATTTATTATGTTTTAGCAGCAACTGGCAAGCACCGCTCCAATAATAAAGTACATTTAAGTTATGCAATAACTTGGGTTCTAGAAAACAAGTCCGTTTTGGGGGGTGGGGGATGTACAACAATTACAATGCTATGAATGAATGGAACTTGTTCATGGTCCCCCTGTCTTCCCCTTGTCCCCACCAGAAAACAAACCACATTAACCAAAAATCAAAACCCATGCCATCTAGTTGATTCGGACTCAAAGTGACCCTGTAGGGTGGAGTTGAACTCCCCTATAGGGTTTCCAAGGTTGGAATATTTACAGAAGCAGACTTCCACACCTTTCTCCCCTGGAGTGAGTGGCTAGTGGGTTCAAACCACTGACCTTTTAGTTAGCGGCCAAGGCCTTTAACCACTGCGCCACCAGAGCTCCTATGCAAAACATATTAAATGCTGTTTAGTTGGAGTCCTTTTGAATTGGATGGAGAGTCTTTTCTTGACAAGTTTATTTTGGCCAGTAATTCACTTAGATCATCTTAACATTTTGTTTATGAACGACTTTATTTGGTGTTTCATATAAATAGAAAAAAGATGCCTAGTTTTTCCTCTATTACCTGGGGAAATTTTTGCAGGTATTATTATGAATTACTCACTGCCATTGAGTGGATTCGACTCATAGCAACCCCTCCTTGGGTTTCCGAGGAAGTATTTCTAGGCAGTATTTCTATGGAAGTAGATTGCCCCATCTGCCTTCCAAGGAGTGGCTGGTGGGTTTGAACTGCCACCCTTCTGGTTAGCAGTCAGATGCCTTAGGCACTAAGCCACCAGAGCTCCTTTCTCATGCATGTTGTTGTTGTTGTTGTTATGTGCCGTAGAGTCAGACTGCCTTCCGAGGAGTGGCTGGTGGGCTTGAACCGCCCACCTTCTGGTTAGCAGTCAATTGCCTTAACCACTATGCTACTAGAGCTCCCTTCTCATGCATAGGAGGTGAAAATACCATGCCTAGGGTCAGGTGTGCCTTAGTCTTCAAAGTGACATCTGTGTGTGTCATACTGCCCTGCCTTTATTTTTAAGAGCTCTGGTAGCGTAGTGCCTAAGGCATGTGACTGCTAACCAGAAGGCTGGCGGTTCAAACCCACCAGCCACTCCTCAGAAGGAAGGTTGGGCAATCTACTTCTGTAGAGATACTGCCTCAGAATCCCAAGGAGGGGTTGCTGTGAGTTGGATCTGACTTGACAGTGCCATTGTTTTTGTGTCTCTGGGACTTAAAACCATTTCTAAGTATTTCACCACTTAGGTTGCTTTTTGGTGATTTTCACTGTTGGTCAACCTTGGGGCTCATTGATAGCTTCAGTCATAATTCATGCTGTGTTTATTCACTGGTTGCATCCTCCCTAAAGGCAGTTGCAAAAACAGCAAGGAGGCCACATGTTCTGACCTTCTCTAATCCCACAAGAGGAAGACAGGATTACCAGCAGTAACCCAAGGCCTATTCCTGCCAGGCCAGACATGCTGCCTCCCTCCAGCCCTTTCACCAACCGTTCCTCCCAAAGCACCCACCACCTCTCTCCTGGGTTCAATAATTCGCTGCAGTGGCCACACAGAACTCACAGATTATGGGGTTTATTAGGGAAGCACCAGGCTACAACTCAAGTTCAGGAAGAACGCTCAGTCTCTCTCCCAGCCCACCATCCCTCAGCCAACAGTCTCTCACAGTCTCTCTCCCAGCAGTGCTGGTCCCTCGGTGTCTCACTCAGCGATGCGTGTCTCTTGCGTCTCTTTCCCAGCAATGCATGTCTCAGGAACGCATGTCTCTTTCAGCAGCACGTCTTCCTCAACCAGCAGTCAGAGAGAGTTCTGCCTCTAGGAGGCCACCTTTTGAGCCCGGCAGAGTGGCCAAACTAGCCAATCACAGCATCAAAACTCTAAGCACCTGAGAGAGAGTGGGCACCTCCCAGAACATTGTTTTGTGCCACTCCCAACACAAATACTCCAGGTGGACACCTTCAGCAATCAGGAGCTCCTGAGTTGCTCATTCCACTACTGAGTTTACAATGACTTATGGGTAGAAAAGCCATACAAAGTAATTTACTACACTGTAGCAGTGAAGTTTTGTTTGTTTTAGTTTGTTGCTGTTTTTTTTTTTCCTGACATAAAGATACTCTTTTCTGATGTACTTACCACATCTCTTCTTCTCCTCTCAAAGATAAAGCGTTCATCACTGTGAAACATCGAAAAGAACCGGTGCTTGAAACCGTAGCTGGCAAGCGGTCTTACCGGCTGTCTACAAAAGTGAGGGCATTTCCCTCACCAGAAGTTGTGTGGTAAGACCATAATCACTTTTTTTTTCTTTAAATCAGTTAAGATATGTTTGGAAGTGGGAAGATGCAGGAGCCCAGTGGCATGACTTCCTGAGGGGAAAAAAAAAAGCTGTCACGTTCCCCAGATGGAGAGCTAAGAAGGGGATTGACTTCCTGGTGGGAGTCGGGTGGGGGAGGGGAGGGGGTCAACCTGACAGGATGGAGCCAGGGTTTAGAGTCTCTTGCATCTTCATGACGGTTTGGTCAGTCACTCACAGGGACTCAGGTTGTGCATCTCTGAATCTCCCGATGATGTCATTGTCCTTTGAATGGACCGTGTTGGGCAGTGACTAGGACACGTTTCGAATATGTCCCATGGTCTATTAACCCTGAAGAAGTGGGCTCTTGTCAGGAGGAAGCTGGAAATGATTATTTTATGTTCAGCTGGATGGAAAGTTCCAGTCCTGTTTTCATATTAACCAAACCTTCGTAGAGACAAGACCTATTCAGTTGTCTGGACAAATGGACCTGCTTGAACTAATTTTTTTTTTTTTTAAATTTTGGCTCGAAGGTTGCATATTCAGAAACTCCTTCTGTGTTTTTTCTAATACTAGTCAAACACCTTGATAGAAAACAATGTAATCTGTTTATAATCTGTGGTCGTTTTGTTAAATCACTTTTAAACACTAATATCTTTGGCTCAAGTCATTATATTTTTAACAAAGGGTATAGTACAAAGCTGATTAGGAAAACAACCCATTCAGTATAGAAGTGGTGTCATTTTCGAATCTCTCCACAACCAGAGCTTACTTTTCTTTCAAAAGAAAAACCTGTAGTGTTTGTTTTCAGTTTCCTCAAGTAGTTAATTAGGAATTAAAGAGGAAATTAAATTTTGTGTGCTGCCCCTTTGTATCCCCTCAATAGAAAAGGAACTTTTTTTTTTTTTTGCTTTGTGATATCTGAAAGGTTTGTAAGTAAATTTTTTAGGAGTGTACATTATTCTTTGGTAGGAATTTTATTGCCGTAGTAGTTACGTTTTCTCTTTCAGTGTCTGGGAGCATCCTAGCTATTAAACAGAACTGATTGCTTCAGTAACTAAGTAGCAGGAGCTTGAAAAAAAAAATCAAAACACCTTTGAAAATGGTAACTTGATTGTTGGGAATATTTTTAGGCATCTTAAGGTGATACTTATAATCCCACAATATAAGCATCATCGTGTTAATTGCTTTGGAATTGAGATCCAGTGGCAACAGGAAATTTGATGGCAGGACTATGCCAACAATATTATAGCATTTTACAGAAGACAGTCAATTCCTAACAGATTAAAACAGGACCCATTTAAAGAACCGCACATATTCATAAAACTGTAGAATCTTAACGTTCAAAGCGATCTTTGAGATGCTATAGAAAACTTGGACAAGCTGGGGCTCAAGCCAATTAAGTCACAGCGTCACACCATTCAGGGGACCCCCCCCCCACCAATTCTGCATGTAATGGAGTGATTTTGAGATTCTCATTCTATATTTTAAAAAAAATGGTTTATACTTTCTGTTTGTGGGTTTTGTGTCTTACCAGTTCTTCCTCAGGGGAAGAAAAATCTTGATATCTTAATTCTTTATAACTTATGAAAGGGACAACTGGTGTGCCCATTTATATAACTAATATGAACTCCACATGAGTTCACAATGGGGAGGTCTATTTTTATTTTTATCTGGAGAAGTGATCTATTTGAGCTGACTTACAATGGCCCTTGTAGTGCTGATGGAGTCGCACGGAAAACTCTGAAAAAACATCTTGGGTGGAATCAGACCTGGTGGCTCTGGGTTTATACTTAATGTGCAGTGATGGGCATGGATGCTTTCGCCAGCACGTGTCTGTCTTCCCTCAGCTTACTCCTTCCCCTTTGCCAACAAATATGAAACTGCCCCCTTTCTAAAAACCATGCCTGCCTGTACTGAAAAGTTCATGCCTACAACAAGTTTTAAGTCACTGCTGAGGGTCAGGGCCATGAGATGGGAAAACTAGAGCCTACCACAAACTTTAGTGAAGAGGTTATCAAAGAGATGTCTGAGAGGTGATGCCAAGTGACTTATTGATCCTTCTCTTCCCCAAAGGTTAAAAAATGGGTCACCTGCAACAGAGAAGTCTGCCCGCTATCTGGTTCACGGCTATGCGTTAATTATCAAGGATGTCACTGTAGAAGACACAGGCAATTATACCATCTTGCTCAGCCTAAAACACCCCAGTTTGCTTAAAAACCTCACCATCACACTCATTGTGAACGGTAGGTTTAAGGCTCTTGCTTTATGCTTCTAGCTCTAGGGAAGTGAATGAAATTTGTAAACTTCAAAGTCAGGGTCATGACATTCAGGACGATGATTTTTTTTTTTTTTTTTTTAGTAAATAAAATAGTTATTCATTCATTTCATTTCAGTAATCACAGCAGTAATAGAAAGATTGTGCCACCTTGTTCTCTGTCTTGATGGAGTGAGAAGGAAAATACAAAGTGAACTGAATTCTTGAAGAACTTCCTGTAATCACCTGACCTCAGAGACATTTCTCTACCCGAGAGATTTATGTGAAAATGAACCACAGAAAATGATGTGAATATTTTACTTTGTAAAACAGGTCACTCATTTTGACTTATAGAAATGCTTTCAAAGCATAACACATTTTACTAAAGCTTCCTGGAAAACCTCACATACATAATACAATCTTATTTGATATTTACATTAACTCTGTGACATTCAAAGGAACCCTGGTGATGGTTAAGTGGTTAAGTACTTGGCTGCTAACCGAAAGGTGGCAGTTTGAACCCACCGGTTGCTCCATGGGAGAAAGATGAAGAAGTCTGTTTGCATAAAGATTGACAGCCTTGGAAACCCTGTGGGGCAGTTCCACTCTGTCCTCTAGGGGCGCTGTGAGTCAGAATCACTCCATGGCAGTTGGTGTGGTTTGTGCCTCATCTTTCTCCTGTGGAGCGGCTGGTGGGTTTGAACCCCCAACCTTTCAGTGAGCAGCCCAGTGCTTGAACTGCTGTGCCACCAGAGCTCCTTATGAGGTCCCTAGGAACCATGTTATTATCTGCAATTCACGTACGACCAAACGAAGGTCTAAACCTTTGAAAGCAGTGGCATTCAAACCTTTTTTGGCTGCCATTGGGAAAGACAACACAATTTTTTGTTGTTTCAAACACCACTTACACTCCAGTCATAACAGTCAAATGCTTGTTACTTCCTAAAGCAGCGTGCATTTTCAGAATTGTAACCCTAACGTCCATACCATGGGGTCTAATATTTAATGTTCTCCTAAAACCCTTGGAAGCTCTGGTAGCATAGTGCCTTAGGCACTTGACTGCTAACCAGAAGGCTGGCGGTTCAAACCTACCAGCCACTCCTCGGAAGGAAGATGGGGCAATCTACTTCTGTAGTGATACTGCCTTGGAAACCCAAGGAGGGGTTGCTGTGAGTCGGATCTGATTTGACGGCACATAACAACAACAAACAAAACACTTGGCACTTTCTTCTATAATTGGCATTTCCTTGACTGATACGAGGGGCTGTTTGTTGTTTACGGATTGTTTTATTCTCTGATGGCAGGACCACCAAGCGTGTGGTCCTTCACGCTGTGGCCTGGGAGGGAGAAGTCACTGGGACAGCTTCTGACTCCTGTCCCCTTCTTCATCTCCTTTCCAGTGAAACCCCAGATTTACGAGAAGGGCGTGTCATCGTTTCCAGACCCACCTCTCTACTCGCTGGGCAGCAGACAGGCCCTGACCTGCACCGTTCATGGTGTCCCCCAGCCTACAATCAAGTGGTTCTGGCGGCCCTGCCTCCACAGTCATTCCAGAGCCAGGTAGGGCTGGTTCGTCCCTCGATGGGCTTAAAATGCTTTTTGGCACCTGGGATCGGAATTCTTTAATGGACAGAGATGAGAGAGGGTAGTTACTTCTTTCTGCTGGGCAGTATATTTGGGGCAGAGCCTTCCCCCACCGTCAGACCCACCACAGAACCACCACTTCATACCTTTTCTCTTTAGGGTGCGCTTTGGGGAGCATAGTCACCGCACTGAGGTCACCCTGTGAGTCGTGATTTGAGCTCAGGCTGGACTTCGAGTTTCTTTGTTTCCCAATTCAGGATCCATGGTTCTGATTTGGCGTCCAGTGAACTCAGGACTGGGTCTTCCATAGTCTGATGATTAGCGTCGTTCAGACGGTTGGGGCTTTGCTCACACTCCTCCACCGTTAGAAACGGTCCTCCCACCGTTTTCTGCCTCCTCTGTCCTCCAAGGCTTGGCTCCAATGTCACCTGATCTGGGAACCCCGATGGCCTCACTCGTACCTCCCCCCTCCTTAGGATGAACAGCAGCACTTTGTCCCCACTGGGCTCACTAGAGGTGCAGGTTGGCCTTCTCTAGGTGATGAGCTGACTGAGTAACCCTTGATCCTTCAGGGCCTTGCACAGTGTGTGGCATACGGGTGGCGCTCAGTGTACATTGGATGAACGAACTGAGTAAAGAATCCGTTTCGACCCTCTTGCCTGTGCAGTCTTTCCTTGCATCCTGTTGATGACTAAGCCCTATTTATTTTTGTCCCCTTTTTGTTTAGTCTAGAGGGATGCTACTAATGATAGTTCACAGGAGCTCATTTGAAGGACAGGAATAGAATGGATAGGTACAAAAATATGATGATAATGAGACAATCCCAGAAGTTGCATTAGGCCACAGGGGTTTCTTGAAAGCTCATGACTCTGCTCGCAGGGTGTGTGGGCTGGTTGCGATTAAGAACACCTCCCCACAGAGACACACACACACACAAACACAGAGAGACAAGCACAGATGCACAGAAAGACATACACAGACACACAGACAGACATGCACACAGAGACACACAGACACAGATGTGCACACAGAGACACACAGACACACCCAGACACACAGACACAGACAGCACACACAGACGTATGGACACATGCAGTGAGGCACCCACAGACATACACAAACGCATAGAATCACACATACGCAGAGAGGCACACACACACAAGAGACACACAAACACATGCAGAGATACACAGACGCAGAGGCTCACACATGCACACATACAGGCACACGGAAGAACATTCACACAGACACACAGAGACACACTCACTGATACACAGACCAGACAGGCACACACACAGACACATACCGACACACAGAAACCTAGCTTGATAAAAAATAGATAAGGCCTAACTCTAGCCTAAGGAGCTCTGGTGGTGTAGTGGATAAGGCATTTGGCTGCTACCCGGAAGGTGACCGGTTCAAACCCACCAGTCGCTCTGCAGGAGGAAGCTGGGGTGATCTGCTTCTGTAAAGATTTACCGCCTCAGAAACCCAGTAGGGGTTGCTATGAGTCGGATTAGACTTGATGGCCATGGGTTTTGTTTTTTAAGTCCAGCCTGACAGCCTCAGGTGGTGGTTTGGTCTCCTGGACCCTTCGTGATCCCGACTCTGTGCCGCTGCAGTCTTGTGTTTAGGACTCTGACTTGGGAGGTGGAGTCACTGATGACGTCCGGCCTCCCTGAGAAGGCCGTCGGGTGTGTCAGTGCAGTGCCATTTTCTGAAAACAGGAGCATGGGCACATACCACGACTATCTTCTCTACCACTGTGTGTGTTTAACCCGCAAAAGAGTAAGATCTCCTGGGATTTCTTGGTGGTTTGCTAATTTCGGATAACCCACTGCCGTCGAGTCAATTCCAACTCATGGCAACCCCCACTGGGTGTCCAAGGCTGTAAATCTTTATGGGAGTAAATTGCTTCATCTTCCTCCCATGGAGCAGCTCGTGAGTTTGAATCACCGACTTTCTGGTGAACAGCCAAATGCCTTACCCACTTCACGACCAAACCACTGCTGTTGAGTCAGATCTGAGTCACAGTGACCCCTCCTTGGGTTTCCAAGGCGGTATCACTACAAGAAGTATATTGCCCTATCTTCCTACACCACCAACGGAAAACACAGCACACTGCCATGGAGTCGGATCTGACTCATAGCGACCCCTCCTTGGGTTTCCAAGGCGGTATCACTACGGAAGTAGATTGCCCAACATTCCTTCGGAGGAGTGGCTGGTGGGTTTGAACCGCCAGCCTTCTGGTTAGCAGTCAGGTGCCTTAGGCACAAAGCCACCAGAGCTTGGAAAGGACAATTATGAGAGAACATGCTGTTGTAAAGTTAGGTGTGAACATTGCTAGTCAAGTATGGTGTGGAGCATGAGGGAAGCCGAGGTGGCACTTCAGAAACATTAGCCCTCTTTTTGTGGTCCCTTTGAGGTGTCTAAGGAGCTGTAGTGGTGCACTGGTTCGGAGCTTTGCTGCTCCTTGAAAGGTCGGCAATTCTAACCCACCAGCTGCTTCATGGGAGAAAGACATCGTAGTCTGTTTCCATCACGATTCCAGACCCACTGCCGTCGAGTCATTCCAGACTCATCCTGACCCTAGAGCACAGAGTAGAAACCCCGTAGGGTTTCTAAGGCTGAAATCTTTAAGGAAGCAGACTGCCACATCTTTCTCCCAGCTGAGCGGCTGGAGGTTTCAAGCTGCTGACTTTTTGGTTCACAGGCAAGTGTTTTAACCAGTGTGCCACCAGTTCTCCTTCTCATAAAGATGACAGCCCTTGAAACCCTCTGAGGCAGTTCTGCGCTGTCCTGCAGGGTTCCTATGAGTCTGAATCGACTCCATGGCAGTGGGTGTGATTTGAGCTTTGCTTCTTAAAAGATAACAGCCTTGGAGACCCCGTGGGGCAGTTCCACTCCGTCCTCTAGGGGTGCTGTGAGTCAGAATCCACTCCACAGCAGTGGGTGTGGTTTGGGCTTTGCTTCTGTGAAGATTGACAGCCTTGGAGACCCCGTGGGGCAGTTCCACTCTATCCTCTAGGGGCGCTGTAAGTCAGAATCACTCCACAGCAGTGGCTGTGGTTTGGGCTTTGCTTCTGTGAAGATTGACAGCCTTGGAGACCCTGTG